TAATTAGTATCCATCAATTAATATGTTTTAAATTAATCCTACATTCCATATCAAAATATATATATTTTTTTGTAATTATTAAAAATCATTCTTTTCTTTTTCTCGATGTCATTTATCATGATTCGGTTTTAGGATATATATTAAATATGAAATATAACAAATAATAGAGTCATTACATCCTTAATTTCTAGGATATCGAAGACACCTCTGATAATGAGTCAAGATAGTTCTCAATAATAGTCCAGTTAACAATGATAAATTAGTTATCAGCTAATCATATGTTCCTGGAATTGGGACTTCATATTCATATGGTTTAAATCTCGATTAATTTGATCCAAAATTATCAGCAGGGCTTTTTCTAATATATCTCTTCAGATTAACTAGATGATAATATAAATTGCATTCATTTTTGGATTGACACCAGCCTTATATAGAAAATCAAGAGCATTTTTAATAAGACTTTAGAACACTTTAAGTTTATTAATATCAAATATGAATGATTTGCAATATCAAGAGATTTTTTTATAAAATTTTAAAGCAGTTCTATTTATCTTTTATAATTTATTATCTTTCTTCTTAATAATATAATAGATCTTTTTATTCTTTAATTTTGTAGACTGAATTTTATGCATTTAAATGCCTGTATTCATTCCAAAGCCACCAGCATGACGCATTCCATGATAGGCATTTCCAACAAGTATACAATTACTTTTATAATACTATCCTGCATACACTGCACCCATTCTCCAAAATCCAACAGATTTTATTTCAATATAATAAATTTTATTTATTAAATTTTTAATTAATATTGTAAAATTAATTTTAAATATATATTGATTTAAAATTAAATACTAAGAATACATAATCTTATCTTATGTATTAGATATCTTAAATATCTGTTTTATCAGTCAATAAATCTAGTGGTATTTAAATGGCGAAAGTTCCATAATCAATTCTATGTTTGATTATTACTGCTGTTATATTGTTATATATAAATGATAACATTGAATCATATTATTCAAGTGTATTTACAAATTTTTTTGAAGTGAAACGATTATTTAAAATCTTTATATATCTCTATTGCCAGTTAATTTAATTTTTAAATAATATCTAACAAACCCATTCAATCCATCATAACCTTATAAATAATCACATGATATATAATCTTTAACTTAAATTCTATTTTCTTAATTTCCTTATTCAATTATATTTTATCTCTTATTCCTTATTAAACATATTAAACAAAAAGACTTTATGGTAAATGAGCATAATTAGTATATGAATATTATTTATAATCTATTAATTAACTTATATTATAAATTAATTATTTATAAATATAATATAATATCAAACAATATTATAATACTATTAAATTT